TGATATTCCTGACCTTTTCTACAATAATTTTTACTTATTTGTTGAATGTTTTCTTATAGCTAGCAAGGAAGTAATCTCAGATATTGAAATTTTAAGAAATTAGCAAAAAAAGCTTTAAATTGAGAACATTTGTCATTGCTTTTTTTCCCTTTTGTAAATGAGAAAATACAAATCTTAGTTGATTTTAATAATGATACACTCTAGGGCACTGGTTTTGCTAAAGAGTGTGGTTTAGAAACCACTGATGTTATAGTAAGCACTATTTGTTCTTACTATTAAATTAATTTGTCTCTACTCTCACTCATATTGTTTTCTTTGATAAAAATATTGCCTTTTAATATCACCTGTTATGGTTTATGTCTGGATGCCCCCCCAAAGCCTCATGCGCTCATAGGTTTTGGGAGGTTATTGGATCATGAGAGTGTGATACTCATCAGTGGTCCACTGATGAGTTTATAGCTAAATGTGATGTTAGAATATGGAGCCTGGTGGAGGAATTGGGTCACTGAGGGAGTGGCCTGGAACGGTCTCTCTTCCTCCCTCCTCTTCCCTTCATGGTTTCTGCTTACCTTCTATAGTGCTATGAGCAGCTTCTCCTCTGCTTTGCTCTGTGCCATGCTGCCCATCCTTGGAGCGAGCCAACTGTAGACTAAAACCTCGACAAACTGTGAGCTAAAATAAACCTCTCCTCTAAGTTGTGGGTGTCAGATACTCTGCCTCAGCAAAGAGAAACTGACTAAGACATTATGGCTGAGGATAGTTAAAATATTCTCTATTTTAAAATGTCTGTTCTAAGTTCTCCATAATGATATATCACAATTTAGTATCAGAGGGCTGGGGATTTAGCTCATTGGTTCGGCTGCCTGCCTCATAAGTGCAAGGTCCCAAGTTCATTCCCCGGTACCAAAAAACAAAAACAAAACACAATTTAGTATCAGAAGAAAGCTTTATTAATTTTTCAAGGTTAATCAAACTGTGTCTTTTCAGGTATTGCACCTTGTGCTTCAAATCCTTTTTTTTTTTTGGTACTGGGAGTTGAACTCAGGACCTTGCGGTTGCAAAGCAGGCACAGTGCCACTGAGCTAAATCCCAGGCCCTTCAGATACATTTTTATCCTTGACCTCTTGAAAGTCCTAAAGCAGTTGTAGACTGTGGTGCATATTTATCTCCTTTATTATTGACTATATTGAATGCATCACTAATTGTTCCATAAGCTAGCAAGAGTATAAGCTCCTTGTTATATATTTTTCTGTCTTAGTATAGTATTAAGTACAGAGTAGAGCTTAATAAGAGCTTCCTGACAACTAAATAATCACATTCAACACCATAACATGTAGCATAGATTTGATTACAAGATAGGCATAATATAAAACATGACTAATAACCAGAATAATTAGAATTCCATGATTTTACCTTAATGTAGGGCATTGTAACATTCTGTTGTCTGTTGCTGTAACAGAATGCCTGAAGTTGGATAACTTATAAAGAAAAGAGGTTTATTTTGGCTTAAGAGGCTGGGAAGTCCAGGGGATAATGACTACATTTGGTGAGGGTCTTTGTGGTGCTTCAATTCATGGTGGAGAGCAGAACACCACATAGGCACATGCAGAAGAAAGAAAAGGGCTGAACTCCTGAGCTAGCTAACTAACTAGTTCCTTAGAGGAAGGCATTAATCCATTCATGAAGGCTCTGCCTCAGTGACCCAAATACCCCTCATTATGCTCCACTCCCAGTGCTGTTACATTGAGGAATTAGGGCTCAGCACATGAACTTTTGGAGGACACACTCAAACCATAGCAGGCCTCCAGCTCCCTCATAGGTGCCTCCCTCCCATATTTACTCTTGGAGTTACCAGAAGGTGTTTTCATGTGGGCTCACTAATGTGTTCTGCTGCTGGACATGGCAACTTTTTCTTCCTGGGATGTTTGCTGTGCCTGCAGGTGTACATTGGTTTCTCCTGCCAGTGATTGGAGGTGAACCTCCTTGCCTGACACCACTTTTCCTTGGTCTGTGCCAGTGATGGCGAACCTTTTAGAGCTTTCAGCGATACAAACAGCCTGCTACGGCATGTGTGCCATAGGTTCACCACCACTGGTCTATTCTGTTCTGCCAGGTGTGTTACTGATAGGCCTGGCTATTGAGGCATTCTTCTTCTGAGGCTTTCCTTTCTATTGTAATTTAATCTGTGAGCATCAAAGCAGAGCTATTTTTATCTTGTCATTTCAGATAGGGAAATGGGAAAGCCATTCTTAGTGTCTTATTCTAGCCCTTGTCTCTGTCCTGATGAGCTTTTGGGGTTGGGCAAGGAAAGCAGTTTGAGTGATAGACCTCACACTTTGGTTGGGCTTCTTTTTCTTGCTGCAGGCTTTGTTGGACCAACTTTTTCTGCCTTGCTTTAGTAAAGATGATTATTTCCCTAAAATATTTCTTGGTCCCTTATGCAAACTGATTCCCCACCAACTTGAGGTCAGTAAGTATGTGAATCTTAGTGGATGGGTTAGATTCTAGCATGTAATCCACTGTACTGTGAAATACAACAGGTAAAACATTACAGCTCAAAAGAATCTCAAGCCAAGGTAGCAAGTTGTAACTTAGAGCATGCTCAGTCTGGGGTCAAAATTATGATCCTCCTGCCTCAGTTTCACAAGAGCAGTAGGATTACAAGCATGTGTCACCAAACTCTACTTCAGCGTATGATTTTGACTCACAGACAAAATAAAAACTTTATTCTTTTTTATATCTAGTTGTATTATAGATTCTAATTGATCCCAGTGTGAGCTTTAAGTCTCCAAAGAAGAGGAGATATGCACTACATTTTTATTTCTCAGATTGTGCAGTTCTTATTTCTAACCTTAAACTTGGTTAAGCCAGTAGCTGAGCAAAGATACTATCCATTTTTACCTTTCTTTCCAGAGCAATTCATTATTAATATAATATTTAGTTATCTTCTGTGAGTCTGAAGCTACAAATTATTATTATTTGGAACTGGACCTTGTATTAAGTTCCTAGTAGGGGTGTAGAAACATATAGTCAAGGGAGAAAGGGAAGATTGAACAAAAATTGAGAGAGCCAAGAACTTAAAACCTTCATGTCTCACTCAGGAAAGAATTAAAAGACCATCTTCTATAGCTGGAATAGTTTGTGAAACAAAATAACAAAACAGCTTTATGAGTTACCTCTTATTTTGAGTGTGAATACTTGAACTTTAGAGTAATCCAGTTCTGTGCACTTGAGAGCCATTTAAGAAAAAGGAAAATGTAATCCACAGATTATACATAGACTATTTTTTCAGAGTGCAGCGCTTGTTTCAAAGTGGCTACTCATGTAAATACCATTGACTGTTAGTTCCGTGTGTATTCTGATATGTGCTAGTCAGTTTTTCATCGTTATAACAAAATACTGAGAGTAACAACTTAAAGGAGGAAAGATTTATTTTTGGCTCAAAATTTAAGGTTTCAGTCCATGGTTGCTGGCCCCATTGCTGTGGACCCATGGTGAGGGAGAACATCATGGCAGAAGGGCAGGATGAACCAAGGCTGCTCACTTCATAGTGGCAAGGAAGCAGAGAGAGCAAGGGAATGGGAGGGACCAAATATGTCCTTTGAAGCCATGCCCTGAGTGACTTCTTCCTCTAGCTAGGCTCCACTTCTAGTTTCCATCATCTCCCAATAGCACGATCGGCTGGGGACCAAGCTCTCAACACATGAGCTTTTTGAGGAGCATTTAAGACCTAGAACATGATACTTGATTGCTAGCACCTAGAAATAGCAGATCCAAGACACCATTGTAGAGCAGTGAGAACAAATGAGATGAAGAGGTCAGTGAAATGTCACTAGAGTAGATGGCATTAGACAATGAATTTCCTTCTCAGTGTACAAATACTACTTTGCAATCTCGAAATAGAAAAGAATCAGTGGTAACAGATTGTTGGGGAAACATCCTCAGAGATCTCTTTGCTAAGGACATCATGATCTATAATACAGGAGACCTTGTGTTTTCCCCAGAATCACTCAGCTACTAAATGACAATCAGAGGTTCAACTTAGGCCTCTCTGCTCCTAGATTCACACGATCATGACTATACTGGGATGTTTAAAAAATAATCACTTATTATTTGCATAAGTGCATTTGTTGTTATAGTTCCTATTTCTAATGGGGGAGAATATGAAAATTGCATTGCAATGATTTTTATCCAGTTCCATGTGAATGACAGCTTTACTTAGCACTAACCATGAAGCAGTTTATTTGGTTTTTGAGAAAGCTTAATAGGATGCTCCCAGCACAGGACTAACAAACAGCCTTGGAGCAGGAACAAAATCATCGTAGAATGATGCTCTGTGATATCAATTGACTCTTTGTTTTCATGTGGTAAAGTAAAATGAGTCATGTATAAGTTTCAAGTCTAATGATTTTGAATCTCTTTCATTCTTTGTATACAAATGTTCTATATCTATTGCATGAAATTAACATTCAATTTATACTTCTTTTATAATTAAAATTGTTTATCTAGAATGAATAATGAGTACTCATAAAATTCATTGTAAGTATACTGGGGATCAAACTCAGGACCTAGTGCTTGCAAGGCAGACGTGTGCCACTGAGCTAAATCCCTGGCCCACCTTTTAATTTTTTTTATAATTACAAGTAAGTTACTCAGTGGAAAAATAATCTGTAAAGTTAAAACAATGTATAAGAAGATTATCTTAAGGACTTGCCAGACCAAAAGAGAAAAATTCCATAGATTTATCTTGGGGAATTATTAAATCTTGAAATTTTGAGTTTCATTTGGGAATAGATTTCACAAATGAAAAAGGCATATTATGTAGGATTCTATTTTGGGTATACTTTATATTCTGTAGAACTTGCTTTGTGTATATTGTCTTACATCTGTAAATGAGATGTGCAAAACATTTGAAGGATTGGCTCTTATTTATCTGTGCACATCTGTAGTAAAAAGAAAGCCACATATATATATGAAACAGTTTTTTTCTTCTCTTGCAGAATTAAATGTAAGGGAATCTGATGTAAGAGTTTGTGATGAATCATCATGTAAATATGGAGGAGTTTGTAAAGAAGATGGAGATGGTTTGAAATGTGCATGTCAATTTCAGGTGAGGAAACCAAATATATTTTGAAATTTTTCACATTTTAAAATTCTACATTTTTGAAATTGAAAAACTTAGAACATGTTGAACACCATAAGAAAATTGTCTTCAATTTCTTCACTGTCAGATGAAAGGTTTGTCTTAGTCTCTTTTTTTTTTTAATCACTGAGACACCCACAATTTAAAGGAGGAAAGGTTTATTTTGACTCATGTTTCACAAGTTTTAGTCCTTACATGGTCAGCAGCATGTTGGAAGAACCCAGGTGGAGGAAAGCTGCTCTTGTCCTGGAAGCCAGGAAGCAGAGAGCTGAGGAAGGAGCCAGGAAGTAGGGAGGGAGGTACACCTTACCACCTCTTCTGACCAGTTCCTGTCTCCTAACAGCAAGCCAGCCATACCACTCCCATAATTCAGTCACCTTTCAAAAGCCTCATCTACGAGAGCATGAGGCTTTTGGGGGACATCTAGATGTAGACCATAACTGCCCTGTTACTTGTACTTCCTATGCTTCTTCCCTGGAATTAAAGGGGAAAGACTGGCAATAATAGATGTGAGAATTCTTTGGAAAAATTAAGTTTTATCCAATTGTAGGATATAATTGCCACCAAAAGCAAATGAGGTACAAGTTGCAGTAGGGCCTCTTCTTGAACATGTTGGATCTTTTTTTCCTTTTCTTCTCTTCTTAGCCTGGCTGTTTCCTTTTCATTCCCATTTGTTGCTGTCTTATCTCTAGGCTAAAGAACTCAACTGACTTGGATCTTCAGGGTAAGTCAGAGTTAGAAATGGACTGAAAAGTGGAACCTCAAACTGATATATCTTTGCTTCCTGGGAGCTGATTTTATTTGTGATTCTGTTGTCTGAAAAAGTAAAAGAAGGGAAGTGGAGTATGTTACATCCAATTCTTTTTTTTATTTTCTGTGATTAAATTATTATCTGGCTTCCACATGTTTCTCACAAGATGGCCCTTGATTTGAGATGAGATGGGGAGCTAGACTATTTTTCATTTACCATCTTGTTCTAAATGTACCTTCTAAATCCTAAATTTTGGATTTTGAGAAGAGGAAAAGGTTCAGAAATCAGGAATAAATGATATAGTACAGTTATTATTTCCAGTAACCCCATGTCTTCAGGAGACTTTTCTAGATGACCTCAGGTAGTTTCTTCCGTGTCAGTATTCCATCTGAAAAGAGAAGGCACATTTCATAGATTTTCTTTTAATATTGTAATGAGAATCAAAATTGGAAAGAGAGCTTGCATATGAAACCTCTTTGAAAACAATAAACCACCATGTTGCTTATTTTCACGAAAAGAAGTGGAGAGTTTGAGGAGAAAGGGTAGGTGTATATACTGCTGTCCAGACGGCCAGGTTCTTCATGGCCAAAAGGGACTATATATTAAGTTACATAGAGCGATAAGAGGATTTCTCTTGGGCATTTTCACAATTTTTTTCTAGAAGTATTCTATGTGCATACAAACCTATTTGTGATTTAATTCCCCTTTTATGTACATAAATCACTTAATAGGATTTAACTTAGAGATTATTTCTTGTTTGTTTATATTAACTGCAAAAAAAAAGAATTGTGTATTTTGTTTTGTTTTGTTTTTTAGTACTGGGCATTGAACTCAGGACCTTGTGCTTGCCAGGCAGGCATAGCACCACTGAGCTACATCCCCGGCAAGAATTGTGTGTTTTAAAGAACTTATCCTAGTTTCATTTTCTGCTTTTTTTCGTTTTAAAAACTTTTTAATTGCTAAATAATTTATATCCTATTTTTTATTACCCTTAAATGAAATTCATAATGTAACCTATATAACACATAATTAAAGAAATGAATATAATGCATAACTGTAATATAAAAGAAAAATAAATATAATTTATAATACATAAATATTTCAGAATGTAAATGCTTGGGCATGATTACACCAGAAGACAGCACAGTAGTCAGATACTTATATATACTCTGGATCAAAAACTGCAATAAAATTGTAATGAATGTTTGGATTTAAAAAAATCTTAAGCAGTTTCATTGCAGAAGCCCATGAAAACAAAGAAGTAGAGGTATGGTGGATGCTAGAATAAAAACCAGTATTAGGATAAGGCATACTAGGCCCGAGAGACATTCAGAGATTTTGTGGTAATTGTAAGTCTTTGTTACATGTAACTGCCCTTTCCTTTGGAGTACATCTGGTATCTTTGGAATTCATCTGGTAAATAACAGTGAAGTCCCTTTATCATTATGACAACCAAACATTCAGGAGCACTGTCCCCTAGGGGGCAGTATTGGCACCTTTGAGAGCTCTGTGTTAGAAAATCATTAAACATCTATTGAGGGAAGAGTGGTGTTGAGAAGTTCATAGAATTCGCACTTGGCACCTTGAAGTTTATAGTATCCTTTGCTAGTTATGTATCGTATAATTGCAAAGTATTGTTTGACTCATGGAAACATAGTAGTTATGAAGTGCAAATTTTAGGAATAAAGAATTAGAATGAAGTATGAGAAATTGGAGGATGGTAAGGCTTACTAAGTAAAATTTAAACTTTAATAAAAGTTGATGTAGGTTTTGCTGATACTAAATGTTTAGCAAACTCAACTTGGGAATAAAAGATTTTATTAGTTACAGGTTGTTTTTACTAGTGCTTGATCTGTGGTAGCATGAAATATTCGTGTTTCATAAAGTAAATCTGATCACTTTTTAAAAGTAGATAAATAGTTCATTGCAGAAAAATTGAGAAACAGAAAAATCATAACAACACAGTGAAAAAGTCATCAATGTTTTCTAGGATTTATCTTATAAATTTTTTCTAGAATGGAATATAAATGTAACTTATTTTCTTGATTTTTTTAATTATCATATTCTTTAAAAAATTTGCATTCATTTTCATGGAGTAGGTAATACTTTTTAAAATGGCACAACATTCCCAGAAGTTACATATCTGTTTTTCACTTAATATTTACATTAGCTTTTCCTGTCACACAATAAATACCCTTTTAGAAATTAATTCTTGTTGACTACAATATTAATTGCTTGAGAAAATATAAAATGTTTTAATTAAACATTGCCTTATTGGATATTTAGATTTTATATTACAAATTTTTGTTTGAAATCCCTGTAGTAAACATGTGTCTACAAGTTTTCTTTAGAGAGATTTGTAAATGTATAATTCTGGATCAAAACCTACAGTCATTTTTCAGGACTTTTGCTATCTTGTTAAATGATGTTCTCCAAAAATTGAACCAAGTTAGATGACCAGAACTAGTATATTGGGATACTTACCTAATTGAAATTTTTTTAAATTGCCAATTTTGTAAGTTAAAAATAATGTCTTATTTTTAGTATATAGTTCTACTGCTAGTGAAAGTTAGCCACTTTTAAATATATTAACTGGCCATTTACAATTTTTCTAATAAATAGTTTCAGTCTATTTAAAAAATTAATTTGTGTTCTTTTTTTTTTAGTAAGGGTAATAACTTGAATCATATTTTCCCCAGATTTTCAAACTTTAATAATTTATGATATTTTGATATGTAAATGTTTTAAACTTTTTAAGGATGCAGGTTTAGTGTCATTTCTCAAATCTGAATCACCTTTTCCTTCATCTATTAATCCTTCAAGGGTCAGTTTCACAATTCCACTTTCTCTGAGATGTTCCTAGAATATGCAACAATACCAGGTTGTAGACACATGTACTTATTGTTTATTCATTTGGAACATGATCTATCTGCGCAGTATGTATTTTTTTTTATTAGGGCTCTCACAAGATTATAAGGTCTCTGAGAACAATGATCAGCTTATATTTTTTGTGTACTATAGCATTTTTTGACTTTTCTATAGAATTTTAAACCAAATGAATTACTCAAGTAGTGCTCTTTACAAAGGTCAAGAATTTTCTTTTATTATCTCAAATGCATTTTCATAGCATAGAAATGAAATAGCATGGGATTTTCATTCTCATTTTTGTGAAATAGTTGGTAACTTTTCATTATGAATGTGAAAAGGGTATGAAGAAGTAGCATAAAGTTTTCTTTTTTAAAACCAAGTAAAAGAATAACCTATTTAGAAGAATACTATAGTACTGCATTCGTGAATATGAAATAAAATAATACTATTCATGCCTAGTTCTGAGTTTATTTTTGTTTCTTTTGCAGTGTCATACAAATTACATTCCCGTCTGTGGATCAAATGGGGACACTTATCAAAATGAGTGCTTTCTTAGAAGGGCTGCTTGTAAGCACCAGAAAGAGATAACAGTAGTAGCACGAGGACCATGCTACTCTGGTATGTATAATATTCTTCTGAGTAAATGTTAGGAATGGTTCTATCATATTTTCCAAGGAAGTTTTCAGCTAGGGGTATATTTTCAGAATTGCTTCATGGATTGGTAGTGATTGTGTAAGGAAGCCAGAGAACTGTTTTTCACTCCTATTTCATGTCAAGTGGTCTTGTAATCATTGTGTGACTTCTTACTACATTTTTAAGCCTTTATGCCTTTTTTTGTGGAGACTTTGCTTATCCTTTGTCCTATGGGTTTGAACATTAAACAGAATAAGATTGGGGGATGGCATCGGAGAGGTGAGAAATATCTGTAGAAAGCCATTAGTGTTATTTCAGGTTGTGTTTCTTTTCAGGCTATTCTCTTTTCACCCATTACCCTCAAGCTGTTTATATTTACAGTGCTACCGTGTGTTTTGTGTTCCTGCGTGAAAGAGGGCCATAGTTGTGTTTGTCATCTGATGGAGAGTTTGTAAACAAAAATAAAATTTTGCCAAATGCTTCTGTTTGTGAACCAAATTGTTCACAAATGAAAGCGTTAGTGAACCGAAGTACCACTATATTGGGCTTCTCATGAGAAACCATGTGATATTGAAGCCCATATTGTTTTCGTTTCTTTGTTTTTTGTTTTTTTGGTACTGGGGATCAAACTCAGGACGTTGTGCTTACACAGTGCCACTGAGCTAAATCCCTGGCCCCAGAAGCCCATGTGTTGGATTTCTTTCACTTAACAATATGGTCTCAAGATATCTTTCATACAAATGACTCGTTTTATTATCCTTCTTTATGGCAGAGTAGTACTCCATAATGTATACCTTTCTTTTGGTACCAGAGATCGAACTCAGGACCTTGTGCTTGCAAGGCAGGCACGGTGCCACTGAGCTAAATCCCCGGCACACCATAGTGTATAAATACCACATTTTCTTTATTCATTCATCTCTTGATGGACATACAGGTTTCTTCCAAGATTTAGGTATTTTGAATTGACCTACTATAAACATAGGTATGCATTCATCACTGTGATATATCTTTAACTCTTTTAGGAAAATACCTAAAAAACAATAAGGTCAAATGGAATTTCTACATTTAGTTTCTTGAGGAATCTCCATACTGATGTCCATAGTGGTTGTACCAATTTCCACTTCCACGAACAATGCAGAACGGTTCCTTTTTCCCTGGACCATCTCCAGAATTTATTATTGGTTGATTTCTTTAGAGTGACAATTTTTTAAAAAATTCTTTTATTTGTACATTTTAGGTATACAATACATTTACATTTCTTATTGGGAACTTGTGCCTTTACATGATGTATCTTGGTTCTTATTTTTCCCCTATTCCCTGCACTCCCTACACCCCTCCACCCTTCCTTATTTACAAAGACTTTGTTTCAATTTCTCATAATTTTTTCTTTCCCTTCTTTCCTTTCCCCTACCCCTCCCACTTCCCCTACCCCTTTGGACCTTTTCTTCCTATTTCACATTATCAATTACTCATTCTAATCATTGGTACATTTTAGGTGTACAGTATAATGACATTCATCATTGGAAATTTGCACCTTTTACAGAATCTCTCTTGGTTCTTATTTTTTCCCCATTCCCCTGCCCTCCCTTCAACTCCTCCATCCCTCCCTATTTACAAAGATTTTGTATCCATTTTTCCATTTTCTCGTATTAATTCCATTCCCTTCTTTCCTTTCCCCT